GGTTGCGTTGGTTCTCTGGATGAAAAGGCGAAGCGTTCTGATTGGTCAATGAGGCTGAAATAAACCTACTTCTCCTGGCGTGGCAGTTGGAAGACCATTGCCCCGCTAAACTTTCGGACTTGTAATACCAAGTATTTAAGTACATGTATATACTAATTTAATCATTTCATACTTCTAGTTTCTATGCTATGCCATATTTTTTGTCCCCAGAAGCGAAAAATCTGGTCACAAACATTCAGTGTTTCTACTCCACTTTACTTCCATGCTGACTACTCCATTCTGCATACGATCCCCAGATTGTCAGAGGCTGATAGTGAGCAAGAGACAGCATTCCTCTCCCACCCAAAATCAGGTGTCATTTAAGCCCTTCTCGCGGACAGGCTTTGCTGCATGAAGGCCTATGCAGCCGTGTAAGGAGGGGGTCTTCTTCCTACTGACCAATTTTACCAGTTCTGGTTGTTGCTGCTGGGGAGGCTTTTCTTCCACACCTTCGAGTAGTGTCGTCTTATGTGTTGGGTCTTCAACACGTATACAGTTGACGGTAAAAAATGCCAATCGCGATGATGCAAAGTGCACATTTTTGGGGTGATTAATGATGCTCTTTGGCATTCTGACCGTTGATATAGAAAGGTCATTTTCTTACCAAAAGTTGATCACCCAGCCAGTTACTCAGCAAACAGACAATCTCCACAGCACTGTGTATTGTATGACACTCGAGAATGAAGTAGAAACCCAAATGACAGGCTTAGAAACTTGTTGCCATTCGATAATGCATGACAGGCGAGATTCAAGAACTGTTTGCCTATCTCCCACCACGGCTTTCCTTCCCTTGTTGATGTGGCTGGTGGAGGTATAGGGCAATTATTTCATCGTTCGCATTACATAATACTGGGAGTTGTTACCCAATAGCTAGGCGTAATTTCTTATTCATATCAAGCACAAAAGATCTTCCTGCTTGACTTAACGTGATGCCTCCATCCTCACGTGACTCATCACTAGAATCTGGTAGAATGTTAAAATCATTCCCAGCCTGTACGTTTTACTACCGCATTCGGTTGTTCCTGATATGAGAGACCAAGGGAGCCATCCCTTAAGCTGAGGCATACTGATCAGTGCTTTATACTGCACAGACTACAACATTGTTTCCACGTTGCAAGTTTCAGCGTTTTTCAGCAAGTCAGTGCAATCAGTTATTCCAGGAACCACACAAATGAGTTGGCCCCTTCAGATGACCTTTTGGACAAGTTTTACCATTCGGCATGGAAGTCGAATACAATAGCCCGGAGCTCTCGGAATGCCAGCAGCACTAGCACTTGTTCTGAATCATTATGGGGAGATAATAAACAAGCCTTAGGTATGGAGCAATTGCAACTTTGAATAGAGAGGAGTTGGAAAAAGAATTGGTTTTCAACCCACCCTTCGAAAGTGATGTATCTTCAACTTGTTTTCGAAGAAAGTCCAGGCAGGCGTCTTTACTCAGACCCAGAGAGTACATTCTCCAGGCAAATTTGCTGAAATTTAGAAATAATCTATAGAAATTATATTTGAACACGATTGGTCTCAGCAAACTCCTCCAAAAATGCGCAAGAAACAGGTTATTCCATTTTCCCTCTTTTTTGATTACCGAGCATGCAAAAGGAGCACCAATCTGTTTAAAATTGGCGAATTTTCAGATCATTAAATACACACCCGACTCAGTGACCTTGAAAAGGGTAAATTTCTATGGAACTCTGGACGCGAGGATTTTATGAATCAGAGTGAGAGCGACGTGATTGCGTAATCACCTCTACAACATATTGACAGTTCAATACAAAAATTCAACGGATAATTAGAAGTCGTATTTCTTCACTTTTCCGTCCTTCAGTAGAGATGAGTTTAAATCGAATTTTCAAGTGCGGATCTTTATTACATCGACAATGCCCTTCCACAAAACATAAAAGATGTTTGGGGAAGTCTGAGAAGAAAATTAAAGGCTGGGAACGATGATATTAAACTAAGGGATGAACCATACCTTAGCTGATTGTAGACAATGCTATCATGTAGCTTCGCTTCAGCATCCAGATTTTCCTGGTCGTCAGTGGTACTGTAAGGTAAAGGAATTACAACTTATCAGTCAAGATATTTTTACTGGGACACAAATCTGACATCTTCTATTTGCTGTTAAATAATTCTAACGTCCATAGACAAAATGCGGATTTCCTTAATATCGGAGTAAGCTTAGTAAAGCTGCTTCTTCCGCTCAAATATTAGACAGTTTTTGAGTCGAGCAAAAGGAATTTAGCTTGGCCCAATCCAGGAATTTTCAAAACTGAAGTCCGCGTGTTATGCCAATTTACCAGTTTAATTCGCCACCAACATGAATGCTTTATAAAGACAAACATACTTCGGAACGATCTGACGGTTGACACGCTCTTCCTGAAGAGCAATGAACACGGCTGCATTCCAAAATCGCGTAGACTGCCAGAGCATTTGGTCTTTTAAGCTTTCATAGAGGTAGGTTAACACCACCTTGCCTGCCGAATTAACGTCTGGAGGAGAAAGAATTAGTAAGTCTGAGTAGTTGATTGAGCAATCAGAAACGGTTTTCCATGAAATGTGTAGTAAACACTAAAATAACCGACGCTTTCTCATGATCAGCAGAGAATTGCCCCAATTCGTCTTCGGAAACTCATTGTTAACCAACAAACAATGGATTTGATTGAGTAAATTTGTCTCTGCAGGATAATAGGATTCTGTCAGATCCTGTGTCTTTCAGATCAAAAAGAGACTTTCATTTCTACATATCGCCAATCAAAATATATTTGTATAAACTGTTTCACATGGCAAAAGTATCACAAAGATCATTCAAATCAAACCAGGACTCATACTTCGTCCTGAGGTCAGCCTAAAAAAGAGTGACACCGTTGTTACACCACACACGCAGTAATGATTGAGAAGTCTGATCCCTCCATCACCTTTCTTAGCACCCAACTCATGTATCGTATGAAGGGGAAGGGGAAGGGGAACCAGTTAAATCTTATCCAGACACTCTCAGTGAAGATGGCAGGTGTTTAAACCAGAGCGTGATGATAAAAGCGCCCCACCATCATTCTTCTTTCGACTTGACGGAGGCGCACACACTAACGCACGAATATTCACTCGCATCCACAGGAGAACTTGAGCGCATCGTGTTGCGAAGATAGAGATCTCATTCACTCAGCCATAGGACAGTTGACCAAATGTCGGCAACATTTTAAGTCTGTGTGACCCTACGTCCGTAAGTGAAGGTGTAGGCTGTGGTGATATACTAACTCACAGTTTAGAAGTTACTTCTGCGAATAGTTGGCGCATGGTACACCCTTTGGACCCTAGCTTCATGATCGACGTAAAATTGCGGTGAAAGTGTTTGGGAGATGAGTAATCTTGATACCGCAGGGGTCAAAACACAACAAGATCAGCTATAAAATTACACAATTTACAGTATTTAATGATGTTTGAGTGCAAATGGCGCAAAGGAAGTGTCGTAGAATGAGGCGGTTCAGCCTCACAGACATATGCTCCTAGAAGATATGTAAAGATTGTGTTACAGCGCAAATGCGGTTTCGCATCTTAAAATCTGCTCTCTATTTGCATTGTTTAACGTCAAATTACTCTAACATCCCTATTAAACTACCGATACGCGTATCTAACCTTTCGTGGGGACGATTCGCACTCAGCGAAATCTTCTCAAACCACAAAAGTTGGAAAGTTAAAACTATCGATGCCTTTTTTGCACTTAAAAAGCAAAGCGTCCTCATCTGCTTTTAAACAAATGCCTAGTTTTGGTTCTGCTCTGCAAAGCGAGATCGGCAAAGTAAAGCGGTCGAATCGAAGCAGAGGCCTTAAGTGCGCTGTTTAAAAATGCATGTCCTGGGAAGGTCGACGGGTAATCTGCGCAGTGGACATAAAAGAACATTAATTTTCCCAACTTGATAATATCTTCCCCTTTTGCAAAATCCAAAGGGGTCACAATATTACACTTTTAACTAAGAAACGTTTTATTGATAGGTATGAAATCACGACTATTTCGTAATATACAAATTTCTGCAAGAAAAGACATTATAATTAATAACCCTCCTGAAATTTTCGATATTACTAAACATCCCCTTAGTAGCACTAGAAGAACGTCGAAGATGAAGACATTGAAACAGTCTAACATTTTAGCGTCTATCAAGTACAAACTGGCTATAACCCCCTTTTTCCTTGCACTAAATGATAGCTTTCTCCTAGACAGGAAATGTTCCTCCTTCATCCGAGATGTAGGGGGAATGTGTCAGTTATTTGTTTAAGCCTCAGTTTTGGCAAAGGGTACACTTAGGTGCTCCGCCATCGTGCTTCTGCCGGGTGGACTGGCCGCCGGGGCATGCTAGTCACTTTAAACCCTACTATACATCGATTACATACCTATTCTACCTGGAAATAGAGTCTTTTTTGCCTTTGAGAAGGTCTCAGGGTGCTACATTAAGAGGCATTCTAAAGATTTTAAGTCTACTTTTTGTTGGATAAATGCCAGAATTATTCTGCAGACGGCTGTAGTAGCAAAAACTAGTTGGAACTTAGTGCACCTAGTTACTTTTCTTCATAAGTCAAATAAAACAATGCAGATGAGGTCCAATTCAATCTGGATAACAGATAAATGAAAGATTGATCAGTATTAATTCACTTTTAACCACTGATGGTGCATGCACACCACAGACTTGCGACGGCCCGAATTTCTAAGCTGGTGCCGTAGGTCAAAAAAACTGAGACACGCATTCTTTGTAATCGCCGTGATAACCAATTCGTGTTACAAACAGACCTACTGGTATAAAATAGTGAAATTGAAAAAGAGTGCTCTTGGTGGAGGAATGATCACCTTCCGAGAAGCAGTTGAATGGGTCATTGCTCTGGTGCGAGTGACAGCGAAGGAATAAAGCAGTAGAAAATACCTGGACTGTCGTGGTCAGATTGCCTTTAATACCCCGACAATAACGAGTACTTACCTGAGTGTCTGAGAGTAAAATGGATCATTACGGGCACCCAGGTGTTTTAGTCCACTAATATGACGCCATTTGTAATTAATGTTTGCATCTCCCCCCCAGACTAATTCATTACCTTTATTTATTAAAAACCCCACTTTTGCATGGAAAGGACTGTCAGACCGGAATTCCCAGCGTCACGTATTTGTGACTCAAAGCACCTAGCATGGTATAGCTGACTTGCAGAAACGCAAGAAAAAACAATTGGCATTTTTTGAACCTTTATAAATCCCCTTAAAAGTTAATATTTTTTGCTGGTCGTAAACTCATCAGATTCTTTCCCAATTGAAATAAACCGCCAGTCAAAGGAAGAATAAACGACAAATTAACAAAGAAGCAACACCAAGTAAAGGTCTCAAGAAGGAGCAGAAACACCCAACTGGAAGGTTTTTACGACTTACTCTGCTGGAAGATGCGGAATGCCACATTGAGTATGGACGCCGCTGGTGAAAAGTCATCATTCTTACCGCATTCCGTCAATGTGTTGTTGCAGAATGACGCGAGAAGTTGCAGCACCGAGGCTGGAACCTGCTTCATTTCATCTGCCTGGAGAAAAGCCACAACTCAAATGGTCAGTGAATCGACTCAAAATATCAAAAAAAAAAATATTAAAATGCCTTTAAATGAATGATTTCTGAATAACCTGTTTGCGAAGTTCCTTTGCAAAAGCCGAACGACCAGTGTGATGCTAAAATTGAGAAATGGAGGACCACTTCTTATACAAACACGAAGCATAAATTCGTACATGAGGAATAAGGCGTGACTCACTTCTATGTAGCTCTGGAAGATGTGGGCGTTTTTCGTCACCACACCGGCACCGTTCTCTCTGAATTAACAACAAATGCGAAGGGATTATGCGAGATCCAGTATCATTGCCTTTGATCAAATTAAAGCGACAATCTCTTTCTAATAGTCGATTTCACTAAATATGANTTAAAAAATATTGCTATGAACCTATTTTAGTTATTCAGAAGAAATGAAATGTAAAAGCAAGGTCATTTCTCATCAAAAGCCGATCATCACCCGAATCAAGCTGTGTATATAAACCATTCCTAAGCGGTACACTTTGCTTGCACATCTAGGTACCGTACCGTCTCCAAATGGTAGACCAGACAAGCAACAAGAGCCATTTCTGCTACCACAGCTGAGGCACCGAATCGAACTTGGTTAATAAGGCGAATAGAGACATTAATGGAAGAAATTGACTACGCGTTTGAATTTATTTACTTATTTAGGATTTTCGAGACCAAAGATAACCAAGCACTAATCAAGGTCTCGCCTCAATTAATTCTATTAATTTGTCACGTTTTGAAGATGAGTTATTGTGTCGCACACCTACGTGAGCATAGCCATGACAAACTGCCGAATGTCCGATCGATATTTTTCGGCCTCCTCCGCAGGAAGCGAGTCAATGCTCTCGGAGGAGAGTTTCCTCTCCATCGGCGCCTCATCAGCGTACATTGCGGGATCTCCACCGTCTCCATACTCGCTAGCCGAGCTGTCCTCGTCACCGTCTGCACGCGAAGCGGAAGCGGGTGCATTGGTGGACAGCTGGGTGGAGCTCAACTGTTGGACAGCGTCCGCTGTCTTCTTCTTCAAACTTGTCATCAGATCGTCACCCTTGGCCTGCACCGAGGAGAAGAAACTGGTGGTGTTCTGCATGAAGGTGGGTTTGCCATCCTCGCCCTTGAAGATGCTCAAAAATTCCATCTTGGTGGAGGATTTTCAAAAGAAGTATCCATCAAATCTGTTACTTTAGCAAAATTTGTTCACCTGAATCGAGTTAAAAAGTACCACTAGGAATGAAAAGCCGAGTTTAGTATCGTCATCAGGACAGTTCTGTGAATCTAGCCCACTTGAAAAGCCTTGGAAGAGTAGGAATCTTGGTTACGGATACATTAAAGCGTGTTTCATTTCTCTAAGTAAAAAGCGTGGTACATTACTGTCCGTAACTGCTGCCCCGAGCATGTTGTGAGCGGTTCAATGGGCTGTGATGGGTTGTGCTATCCAGCACGGAACAGATCGCGGTGATAAACAAGTTGTTTTTTCAATGGGGGCGTGAAATCTGCGGATATTTACTCGTCTGTTGGGTGCAGTTTTTATGTCAACGATCTGGGGAATGACGGAGAGCCTCGGGGTAATGTTCAACCAACACATGAATGCTGAGAGTCGATACGTAAGGGAGCTTATGGCCAGTAGGACGAACTAGTTAGGAAAAAATCGCTCTTTATAATGATAAAAATTGAATGAAGAAATGAACCCAAGACCTGAGAGATAACCACATGCCGCATGGTATCACTAGGAAAGAATTTCTCGAAGTCGCGAAAGTAAATGGACAGGTAAACGGCCCCGTCACATAACCGACGGCGTTTGCCTCATGAAGTCGCATATTACAGAATAACGATGCGTCTACGCCATTTAGGGAATCCTAAAATAGAAACTTCAGATTACCGACAGTTGGTAGAGAGGATATCAACGCCAACGCCCTCTAATTAGGGATTTTCATGAATATTTTTCTAAAGGGATGGCTAGAAAGTGCCAAAAATAATAAATCTTCTGCTTTTTGATTAGATACCCGTCGTTTAAATCGGCTCTTGGGAGGAGGTTTTGGTGACTGGCCACTTAAGGGGCTCAGCCATTGCGCCTCCGCCGGGTGGCCTGGCCTCCGGCCCTTCTATGCCTCAATAATACATATTCCGGCCGGATGCTATGTCTTACTTCGCCTTTTACGAAAGTCTTGAGTCGCTACGTAACTTTAAAAACGCGTTTCCAAGGCCAACGCAGATTGGCAGCGAAGCTATTTTGCCGAGGCGCACTTTTCAACCGTTCAAGTAAGTCCATTGAGTAAATCGGGCGAGTGAATGGGCGAGAGAGTTTGTGATTGGTTCACCAAAAGTAATCAAATCGTTGGAAAAATTTTCAGCGAGACTAACTTAAACCATGTGATGCTCACACAAGCCGAGTTGGAAGATTCATAAAACGAAATGTCTTTTTGGTGGCAAAAAAATAAAATCGTACCGCGAGAATAATTTTACCGGCCTTTAACTGTTTAAGTTTACTTAGTTGCTTTCCGAAGCCTTTGCTAATCCACCCACTGTAAGTGTCACATATATGTGACATGCCTTCTTAGTCCGATTAGAGCAACTGATTGCACAAAATCGAATAGCCAAGAGCCTTAGTCTGTGTAAAAACGGCAAAGCAGTCTTAGATTGAGAATAGTCGGACACTTTTTTGACCCCCAAACAACCAAACCTGGCTCGAACCACTAACTGCATACTTGAAAGTGACACCCGGGTTCCCCCTTTTGGTAGGTCCTAGAAAAGTAAAAAAAGCAAACAAATGCGAACTTTTATTACTGGCTTGTAGTATTGATGCACCGATTCACCGTAATATACCAAGTTGCCATGTAGATTTAAATAAATTCACCAGAATTCAAGCCACCTCATTCCAGCATTCCTTATACTAGTCACATCCAGCTATTTTCAAACAAAAAATACAATGAAACTACTTTTTAGGAAATAAGCCATCTGACTAAAGAGAAAGCAATACAGCCAAAGCCGACCTATTCTGCGAACCTTCTGCTCATATTTGCCACAAAATGCGTCGTAAATATTCTTCTTTTGATTTAAGAAG